GCACCTTCTTTCTGCTAATTAAAAAAAAAAAGTTACAAGGAACAACGAGGTCGGGATTCATTTCATTGAACTTTTAGGCTTTTACACTGTAATGTCCACAAAGGAGAGAACAAGACATGACTCATCTGAACTCCTTCAAGGTCTATGTTAGGGTAAGATGAATTGTGCCTCAGAAATACTTATTTCTCTCCATTAAAAAGAAGGTCTAGGTAACTGGTTGTGGTATCCCACTGTAAAAGTTTAAAATTAGGTGAATTGTAGCTCAGCCCAGACATGAAGAAAGTATTTTGTTGCACAGATACAGATTTATAATTCAAGAGATGAAGGGCTGTTAACCTCATCTCCTTCCTCATGTCCCCTCCAGAGCTGGTACATAAGACTCAAACACTGCCATATGCATCCTATCTGAATAAAAGCTCCATCCACCACACTTAGTTCCTTTACATAATGCATTAGACTGATGTATTTTCTATTGCCAAAGTTTTCTGAATTACTGAGTAAGTAGAAATATTTTCACTGCACTCTATTATATTTGGACTATTTTTAGTCTTTATGTGATACTCCAGTCCTAACTTTCACTATCCACTTTTACTTCTGTTAATGATTCACCATACTGGGCTGGAAATTCTGATTTTCAGAGTTCATTTAACAGCTACACCTCCAATGTGCTAGAAATGACCATTGCAGGGAGAAAAGAAGACATCTAGAACCTCACATGCAGGCCATGGTTCACTGTGGACACTGCTGTGTCATGTCCCCTGAAAATTAACTGGAGTCGGGAGTATCCAGCACATTTTGGGACTGGGATGTAACTGCCTTTTTCTAGTGATTTGTCACAGTTGAATTACTTTCCTGAACCCACAGTGCAGGTCTAAGGGAAAAGACACTGAGCTAAGGCTCCAAAAGGTTTGAGTCATGTCAAAGATTTTAGTGGCTGAGTACCAATAACACTGGCTGTGAGAAAACAGCAAGCCACAAAGGGAAAACTTGTTTACACGGCACATTCAAGCCCAAAGCATAGCTGAGGCTGTCTCCTTCAGAAAGGTACATGGACAAGTCCATCTGCTGTAAAGACTTGTACACCTGGCTAGTCCTGTAGTGCTATCCATCCTTGCTCCAAGTTAGCTGTATCCAGCCAACACTCAATGTGCATAGCATTGAGCTTGCTCGGGGTTTGTTTGTCTGGGTGAACTTCTTTTACTGCATATTGTGTTATTGTAAAGCCATCACAGAGGATTCCTCTAGACTGACCTGTCATCTGCAGAAAGAGCCACACTAGAGCAAATAACACAGGCCTAGAGATAAAACCAAAAAGCAGAGCTTTGAGGGAAAATGCACTCAGTGTGGCTTTGTTCCAAGTGTATCTTAGAGACGCATCATTTTCATTTGTGCAGAAGAGCCATTAATGCATCCAGGCATTTTTGGAGATTTGTTTATCAATACCAAATTAGCACAAGAGTTTCTAGAACTCTGTAATACTACAGCTATTTGAAGAGCATCAGCATCCTCTAGCTACACAGTATAGCAAAGACAACAGACACAGAAACATTTCCATGGTTGTTTGTATACAAACGGTAAAGGATATGTAGGACCTTCTGACAGAGCAGCTGCTCTGACTGAGCACGGGAAATATTACCAGCATACCAACTGCAAAGAGAAATATTTGGCTTATTATTCACAGGCTGATTTCTGAATAAGGCACAGTAGACACATGAAAAATGCCAGACATTGTAAATATTTTCAAAATTGCTTTTAAAAGCCGGAGAGTAGACTTGGGACTTGTCCCACAATGTGTGATTTTAGGCCATAAGATAAAAGGGAAACCACTAGTTCCCATCTGCTTCCTCTCATCCATCCAGTGGGTCTCCTCCCAAAACACCTGGGCTTACTCTGTAATTCTGGTTTTTTTTTTTTTACAGTAAATCCTTAGAGGAGAATCCTGCTGCTCTAATGCTGTGCCAGGAGCTCATTCTCTCCTGCAGACCATGACACAGCTGTCTCCCTAAAAGCTGGGAGGTGCATAATTCACCTCTAAACTTGAACCTTCTGGTTGTCATAATATTTAAGTAAACTGAGAGGTCCCAAATGGAGGAAACAAGCCAAACATGCTATGTCAGATCAGTTCAGGGAACTCCAATAAAGCCTTTTTAATAGCAGTTCACTTTTATGAAGCATTGCTTTATTAGCGTACTAGATTGATTTGTCTAAATGCCTTTTTTTTTTTGTTGTCTGAAAACAAATACATTCATGCTTTTGGAAGTCTTTGGGCAATGATGTTGCTGATGACAATATCTATAATTATTATTATTATTATTATTATGACAGTCATTAATTTCTGTGAAATTATGACAGCCATTATAATTATTATCATTATTATGACAGCAGGATACCACTGCTCTAGGTATAGTGGCCATGTAAAGTGGAAAAACAATCTCTGTCCAAATAATCTTTTGGTTCTCATGAAGACATATTCTATATACTCACTCATGCTTAGCAAGACTCTGCTCCTCTGCTAATGTCTGTTCACTGACACTGGAGTTTTCCCTGCAAAGACAAAACATTATGCCAAAATTGTGAAAAACTAGTTATGAAAAATACCTTCCTTGGGTTAAAAGTCATACTACATATATTTTTTAGTAGTTATGCCATGTTCTAAGGTAAATATTTCAAAAAGTTGAGAGATATTTAATTGTCTGGATTTTTTTATGACTTGGTAAACACTTGTATAGCCTTTCCCCTCCACTGTGCAATGTGTTGGAAAGCCAAATATTCTCTATGCATGCTGTAACAGGCAATGAAACTACGTATCCCTTTAGTGACCTTATGAACAGATTGCACCTACCTTTTTAAAATTTACATGGAAGCTTTCCAGAACTGCACAGCCCTGGACTTCCCAAATAAATGTTCTTAGCATGACAGACAACAGAAGGAGTCCATGTGACAGAAAAAGGGGCTTCTAAAATAACCTCTTGTGCAGAAATGCTGATGATTCTTATTTATGCTGCCTTTTACAGGATACTGTAAGACTAGGGGGTTTTTTGTTGTTTTTGAGGAAACCTCTGAATCTTGCCCAGTATAGTTTAGTCTGAGACAATCTGCTATGTTTCTGTCGGATTTTCATTCAAATACTTAGGCATACATTTAATGCTTACAATGTCGTGTCATCCTACTAAAAAGGAAAAGAAGGGTTTGATGTATCACTTCAACAAACCTGGATTCTCTTTACCCTGTACAGGACTACTCACATACATACAAAGGCAAGAGAGTGCTAGCAAGGCTGATTTAAAGCTGAAATAAGAGTACAAAGGTTGAAATCCCAGTCTCATTGAAGTCAGTGTCAAAACTCTATTGAATTAAATGAAATCAGGATTTTCAACTAATGTTTTTTGCATTAATGTATGAGTCAGGAAGACAAATTGTACCTGATTGTATACGTTTCAGGAAAATATGCTTAGTACTCAGAAAGTTATTTAAAAATAAAAATATTCTAGAAATATTGCCTAATCTTTATTAGACTAGCATGGAAAACATTTAAGCAGTGGACAGTCTTATATCAATTCACCTGGGCTCATCATCTTTCAGAGATAATTTTCTCAAGTAAGTGCTCGGTACGAAACCTTCATTCCTGCAAAATAAAGCATTCACAGTTTAGCTATTGTACATGACTGCATCTTAAATTTGGTCACTTAAAATAGGAAAAGGGATTAATCAGAGAGTCACTTTTTAAAATGCCACTAAACAGAAGTGCTCATGGTTAAAACATTTCTGCTTTTACTTACCATGCAGAAAAAATATAGAAGCATTTTAGAAAATCATATTTCAATGAAGTACTCTTTTCACTAGTCATTGAAAAGACTTATTCCTTAGTGATTAGCTTCATCATATGCAAGACTGGAGCAGCTGTTTAACAATTTCATTACATGCCATCTCAGTTGCTGTGATGAAGGATGTCAGTGACTAATGGGTGCCAGCAGAGTATCCAAAGTCAAATGCAGGAAGTCAATAGGGAGGCTTAGCACTCCTCCTGAAACAATGCCCTATGCAATTGAGAAGCTAAGCTAAGTGAATACGGACAGCTGAGCTACTTCTTAAAGCAGCTGGCAGCATGGCATGATGGACCTAAGTTACGAGGGCCAACAGGCATGTGTAGTTGTAAGGGGGTGGGCTGTATGCTGTGCCCATCAGAAAAATAAATAGGGGGAATAAATTGCATATTTGAATATGAATGGACACAGAAAGGAAGAGTTTCTTTAACACAAGTCTCAGCTGAGCAAGAGGAAAGCTGGGAGTGCATGGAAATAGGTAACTCCTGAAGTTTGTTCCTATTACATTCAAGAAACAAGCTCTTTTTTTTTTTTTTTTTTTTTTTTTAAAGCAAAATGTAAAGCTTTTGTTATGATGTATAAGTGACTTGTCCTTACAGAAACTGCCTCAGTTTCTGAAGCCAAAGAAAAACCTGTAAATATCTCCCCTTTCTCTTGACCTCTCTCTGCTCCTTTGTTCATCTTACAGCCCTCTATTCAGGCTCTATAAGCCAAGCTGCCTGTATCGTGCTTTTACATAGCTATAAACAGTTTGGTGAGGACATTTAAGAGCATCTCTCAGCTTATTAATTTATTATTTGTTTTGAGTTGCCAGGGTTGTGTGCTGCTTTCTTCAAGAACAGTATGGCACACCTATGAATTATAAAGTGCAGACACTTTACATTAAGTTAAGGTTGCTTTATTTGTTGGGATTTTTGCAGTTGTAAACTTAATCAGTGAATTATGAGTGGGTGAAGTAATTTCATTCTGTTACAAACCAGTTTGGGCATACCCTGGCTCAAAAATTCTTCCCTTCTATATTTCTATCAAGTACATAAAATCAAACTCAGCTAGTATCCGTGATGAGACAGATAAGGAATCTTATCTCTTCCAGGCAGCTCCTGTTTGTTGCACTGCCTTTGTCTCCAGCATTCTCCTAAAGCTATTTCTCATTTAGTAACTTGGGAAGAGATGCTCTTTTCTGTCCCGGCTGGATATTAATGAAAAATATCTTATTTTAAGTTGCTGGAGGGGATTCCTTCACTTGTGAACCTCAAAGAGAATAATTAAATCCTGTGCAGGATAGGGGTGCCTGTCTTTGTGGAAAAGTATTGCTAAAGCCAGGGAGAAACGGAAGTGAAAAGTGATTTGTGCCTCAGCAGTTCTCACTGGTCTCCCTCGCTGTCACTGCTATTGCAGTAGTAATGGTGGTCTAAAGATGCTTTGTGCATACAAGACAGGCAACATTTGTGAAGAGTCATTTTATCTTTTTATTCACTTAAACTAAATAGTTGGAAAAAAAAATGGATAGCTTCTGTGTACACAAGTCCTTCTTCAGGCACATATCAAAATGAAGGCCACTGGATACTATCTAAACTAGTATACTAGACAGTGACTGTAAATCTTACTCAACCTGGTAGCCAAGGATGGAAATGAAAATGGATTTGTATAGAAGACAAAAAGGCTTTTAGAACAATGTTTAAAAGCTACTAACGTAATTCTAACCTAGAATAGGTTCTAATCTAATATATCCTGAAAGGTATCATGACTGCTTACAGTGTTACCTATGAAGGTGAGATACATGGAAGACCAGGATCATGGAGCAAAAGTATTCTGCAGGGCATACTTACCCTTCCAAATCCCTTACTTTCCAACAGGAAGAATCTTCCTCTTGCAATACATAGTATTTACTGCTTCTGACAAGCCGGATAGCTGAATTTCCTTCGGGTTCATAGTTGCATTGGGCCACAGCCACATTCAGGACTGACTTGTCTGGTGATAGCACCTGAGGTAGGCTTCTACGCTTCTGCTTTTGAACACAAGGGAAATAAAAGTATAAGGACACACAGCACAGGACACAGTAAGAAATACCTCATGACATGCACATGATCACTTTATCTTCAACATGATATTAGGCAAATTAATCAAAACTGAGAAGATGGGTACAGACAAACAGCTTTTTCTTCATCCATTTAGAAGCACAGCCCAGATACTGTTGTCCACAGTTGTGAGACAGGTGAGAACAGAACCAAGTTCTGTGATAATGACACCAGAAGCCATTAATTTTGAGTGGAGGCAGACACTGCTGTAATAGGAAGCTCTTGTTACCAGAATTACATGATAGACTTGACTTGTATCAGAAGCCTGCCAGCTGTCCGAAGCTGGTGCTACTTAATGAACTGTTGCAATTCATGTGCTTTGGACACCACATGACTAAATTGTGCTTTACTATAACCAAGTGTGATGATGTTCTGTTGTATCAAAAGACCCTGTCACAGTATTATAAAATAACTTCTTTTTTCTGAGTGGCTTTTGTTCAATAGTACTGTTACTATGAAGCACAATAAGCATTAGCCAACTGTTACTACTAATCACTGAAAGAAAAAGCTATGTTAATTCTAAATCATTCCCTTTTCTTACCATCTTTTATTGATTTTTCTCTGCTAAGCATGTTGAATATAAGGAATCTCACTCCTTGGTGCCTAACTTTCCCTGTGCAGAATTAAACAAGTGTATGTATTTAACTATGGGATTCATCTTGCCTAGCTTTTACCAATCTCTTCATGTGAAATATGTAATCCAACACAAGTGTCTAACTCTCATCACTGATTGTTGAGGAGTTCTACACAAATGACTCGGCTGAGAAGCCTGGCATTAAGGTTAGGTGACATCAATCAAATAATGGGCAAAAGAACATCTAAAATTAAGGCACTAAAATGCATTTAGAAATCGGGGAAACATCATAACTGAGAAAATCCAGACATCATGATTCTTTAAGAGCAGAGAAGACTATACTTGAAACACTGACAGAAAAGTATGAGGGGAGAATAAGAAAGACTTGGGAGAAAAGGTTCCAAATGCCACCTATTTATTATTGAAAACCCCTATAGTGCAATGCAAGGGAAGAATACCAAGCGTCCTGAAGCAGACTGTGATTCCTTTCAATCAAGTCCAAGTGGCCATAGCATTGTGTGTTTGCTTGTTTTCTCGTTATTGACATTTCTTTACTTATTTTAAACAAGGAGAAACCAAAGAGCCAAGTGAATGCCTGATTGAGTCCACTGAACCAGAAGACACACGTGATCTCTTCCTACAAACACACAAAGTCTCAATCTGATCTCACTAAGCTCCAGTAGAGATTCTAATTATTTAAAGAGGTATCACTCACAGCAGAGTCTTCTTCATTTGACTGTTACTCATCAAGTAGTACTACTTGAACCCAATAAGGGTGGTTCCTGTTGGTCATATCTGACTTCAGTGGAAAGGAGCTTATAGTGTGAGAGCCAGTGTTAGGCAGCATTCAAGTCTTAGACTTCCCACTTGCTTTGTGGAATAATGACAGAACTAGAGTTGCTTGCAGTTGCCAGAAAGATGGAGAAAATAATAATAAAGAGATTAAACTGTTTTCTCTTTAAAGCATCTAGTGCATCTAAAGCATCTAGACCAAGCTGATATTCAGTAAATGTATTAACGAGCCGATGTGCACTTCTGGCATTTGGCCTTGGTAATTTTTGGAAATTAAGTTGTTTTTTCCTAATTTCTTATGTTTTACTGGTGGAATGATCAGCAAGTTATCCTCTGATGGAGGTTTCATCTTTTCGTGTGAACAGAAGAAATTACAAAGCATTGGCCAAAGTAAATGGTATAAAGAACTATTATCACAGAAATGAATTTTACTTTGTCCGACCTGCCAGGGAAAAGAACTAGCCAAAGATGAGCATATCAGATTTGTATCCCTTTGAGTTTTACTGCTGGATGTGTATTTGTCTGTTGCAATATTCCTGATGGACTTAATCTGTAACCTGGTACAGATTAATGTCCTGATTTATGTCCATATATACGACTTTCCATATCCAGCACTGTCTGAAAGACCCAGAGCAATTCCTAATAGTAACTGAGTGGATCTTATTATTTCCTTTATGCTGGCAGTGATATTATTGTGGTTTTCACATTGATGACTGTGCCCCTGTCATCTAGAGAGAGCTGTAGGTGACAGTCTGACATTCAGCTGTGATGTGCATGTGGGGAATGGTTACAATCTGCAGAACTGTTCACCTACTGTACAGCTGGAAGCATGTGCTGGATCACTTCGGCTTTGTCCAATATATAACCATGAGAAAATATGTGTGTGCACTCAGTGGATCTCTATCTAATCTACTGCAATATTGGTCTTACCTACAGGAATGATTTTCCACTACAAAGACAGTGGATGTCAGGCACCAGCAGAGGTGAAATTGTTTTTCAGGCAGGAAGCTCCTGCTTCCTGCTGTTATCAAAGCACAGGGGAAGTGCCCACTCATTCCCATGAAGGGACCTTTGTGCCCACAATTCTTTGTAATAGCATCACTCTTTAGGAACTAGATCCTCTGTGGGAGACTGGAGGTATAATGCTCAACTGATTAAAAGGACAAAGGCATCAAAGGTGCAGATGTAAGCATGCAAAATCAAAGCCTCATGCAAAATATAATGTCTCTGGTCAGTTTTGCCTACATGCAAAAGTAATGTCTCTGGCCAGCTGGGAAGAAACCAAAGCAACAAGACTTGCAGAGGCTGGAAACATGAGGGACATGAACTGAGAGGCAGGCAGATGGTAGGCTGGGTACGGTGGTACCTCTGATTGAAGAAATGCAGTAGATGAAAGAGCAAAGTAAAAATGTGCTGAGAGCTTATAGAAGTAGCTCTGTAACTAAATCTAGACTGTTCCTCACCATGAGAAGTCAGTATTAGCCTTCTTAACCTGGTTATGTCATATGGCTTGAGACAATGAAGTCAAGCTGCTCTAAACAGATGTGGTAGTTATTATATCTGCATTTACTGAACCTGCTTTAGAAGTACCTGTCTGAAAGCTGTCATAGTGTTGCTTTTTAAATTTCCCTTTCAAAATAACTTCCCTGAACTCAAGCAGATAATAAAAATAAATGATAAATGCCTAGAAGAAGCCAGCATGTTCAGGAGCAGATTTGCATGACTGATCTCTCCAGATAGACAAAGCACCTCCTGATGGAAGCCAGGCAAAACAGAACATGGTATTCAAAACAAGTTATGCTGCTGCATGTTCACAATGCTATTATTTTCAAATCTCATTCTCAGAAAAAAAAAGTCAAAAGCTTCTTTGTTCATAACTTCTTTCCAAGGCCTTATTATTATTTTTCTTAAAGCTCCACTTTACAGCTCTTGTGATTTTATCTTCTGTCTCTTGATAATCTATGTGTTTCTTAAAGCCCTGGTTCTTCATGTCAACTGTATACATAAAAATTGCAGGGGTTTTTAATTTTTTCTTTAAGTTATTTTCTGATTAACAAAGAGAAGCTAGGAAATGGACCCAGACTGTATTTTAAAGATACAGAACAGAAGATAAATTAAAAAAACCAAAACAACCCAGGAAATACAGATTTTAAAATCTCATTATTTGAAACCAAATCAGATTTAATTTGGAGGAGGCTGTGTAATGATATGTGAATACACAGTCAGACCATACTGTTAGTCCTTTTTTTAAGAGATAAAAACATTGTAACTTAAGCCACTTTGGTCTTTTTGATTCTCTTGTCATGGTTACCTCCTTTCCACCTACAAACCTCAATTAAACTGGACAGTAAAACTACAGTCAAAGATACTATTATTCCCTTATATTTGCACAGGAGGAGATAGATGAGGAAACAGGCATAGAAGCAGATCTTCCAGTTCAGTTTTATTCTTAACCCTGCCAACTGTTGACCTTCATCAAACAACTCCTATGCTGGAGGACTCGGGCTGAATCGAGCATGAGTAGTACTTTTTGGCATCCTGTTGTCCTGTTTGTCTCTTTAGGTCTGTGAAAGCTTACCTTTCTCAGGTGGACAGTAAGACTCGGTGGTGGTGGGACACTACACTCTTGGGTTTCTGTGTAAAGTCGTATATAGGCTGATATAAAGTCAAGATATAAGCAAGAGCACATGAAGAGCTCTGATGCACTTCCCAATTCATTAGCTTAGAGGCTGTCTTTCTAAAGTTGGGATAAACATTCCTAAACATGCATCTGTACTCCTGACCCAACACCAGAGGAGCACAACTTGGGACTTGCATGAGACAAATGCAGTTCATCCACCATTTGTCACCCATGCAAAGCAGGTATATTTGTTCATATATTCAGATACGATGTTTTCTCCAAGTATGAACACCATTTTCACTGGGAAGGGTGATGGATGGGAGTTTTTTGGCATCTCTAGGAATGAGGACCTCCTAAACACTAGGGAGCTAATTTTGATTGCATTTCCCAATCCCACTGGAAATAAGTGTGTAAAATAAAAGACATCCCTTTAAGGACTACAGCCAGTACTGCCACCAGCATGTAAAATTGAATTGAACACTGAGACTCTTCCAGTTTGCCCCACAGTAGAAGGAGATGAGTCCTTCCCTATGACACACTGGTGGACACAAGGATGCTGGAGCTGCTCTGCAGGTTAGAGGTCTACACCAGCTTCCAGAGAGGGGCTGTTCACAATTCTCCATCCCATCTCACAGCCCACCCTACCAGCTGGATGCCATGTCTTTCCCTGTAGCCATATATTCAAATGTTTTCACCTACCAGCGTTTGAGGGACTGGAGGCAGTGGTTTCACATACCCAGTTGTACAGCACAGAGTGACATCTAGAAGAGAGGGAGAATTAAAGAAAAAACATGAGTTTAACCAAGACTCTATCTCTTGAGGCTTTCTGACTTGTGGATCTATACAGTGGCAGCAACAGCACCATGACAGCTGACATCTCACCTCCCTGAGGTATTGACATACTTTAGCTCTGTATTTTCCAGCCTTCTCTTAATTCAAGCACCACCTCACTATCTTTAAAAATCCCATAAACCACTGTTTTAATCTATGCCAAAATACAAATTCAGGGAAATTTTTTGGTTGTATCTAGCTCTGTGTTTTTTTCAGTTAGCTTATTTGACTGCATACAGGAGGAAACACATGTATGCTTTATTTTTATTCTGTTTTTTTTTTTTTTAATTGTTTCATTGACACTTTTAATATATGAAGCAGTATTAAGAAATACTGCTTTCAATTACCCAGTGGTTACAAGATTGAGGCTATCTGGAGTCATCCCTACACAGTCTCCCTGTGCTTTGCACATCTCTGTTAGCAAACTCAAGAACTTATTTAGGAATGAGTCAGGGTAGATAGAGCACATTATCCTGCATGCAATATTATCTGAGACATAAATGAAGCATTCAATATACAAAAATTATCTTTTAAATTCTTCTCTTGGCTAAGTCATCCATGACTAGTAATGAGTATTTCCTTGTCCTTGCAACTGACCAGGGGTTTCATGGCCTTATTTATTTTATAACAAGTGATTTTGAAGCTAGATGAAGCTATCCAAATTACTATTACAAATCAGCTGACAACTTTTTACATTATTTAGTGTTCCATAATGATGAAATCTGTAGTAATAGTAGGTAAGCCTCAACCAATTTTCAAAAGCAAATACCTATTACAGGCAGCCTCACAGATCTCAATCAGGTTCTTAACTGCTCACACATACCTTTTTGGATTTAACTTTAATTTAGGGTTAAAACTTTTTGGATTTTTACTGTAAATGCTGAAGACCAAGGTTCAATCGTGATTGAAATCAGTGGATCTACCAGTGCTCTACAATTCCAAATAATCAAGATTTAAAAGGCTGAAACCCAAATACTCATAAACTGCTGTTCCCTTTCCCAAAAGTGGCCTTTCACTGTTAAGCATGTACACAGACATGAGGGAATTCTCTTCTGAAAATGTGACATCTAGGAAGGTAGATTTAAAAATTTTCCTCTCTGTCTTTACAGATGAAAAACTAAAAACTGTAAATAATTGTGACTAAGTCCTACAAAAAATACTTTAGAAAAGCATAATAAAAAAAAATGCTGCAAATTAAATCATAGTCTAGAAAAAAATAATATAAATATAATTATATATTAATATAAGGTTTTTACTTCTATTTGTTATAAAACTGTATTGTTTTATGCTCCTCCATAAACACTCTTGTACTGAACTTCTATTATTCTTACACATTCAGCTTTATAGGACCTCATCACTAAAAGGGTCTTACAGCATAATACTAAAATTTAGCTAAGGATCTTGAGAATAAGGACAAAAATAATTCCATCTGGGTTTTTTTGTAGGCAAAAATGTCACTAACTTTTTGATCAAACATAGCAGATACAATTTAGTGTACTATTTCTCCCAGTTATACTATAAGCTACAAGGTATAGCAGCAGTGATGTTAAAAGGAGGTTAGCACATATTTGAAAAGAAATAAGTAGATTAGCTTTTATACTGATTACACTGCCTTAAATGTCCATGTGATTTGGCAACATTGTGAAAAACATCGACAAGACTAATCAATCAAATAAAGGAACACATTACATTTCTCCCATATTGTACATCCAGGGGCTGCTTTACAGGTCTGGCTGCAACAGAGAAACTTCCCCTTGATGAAGAATCCTCTATGGTACTTGTTTAGTAAATCAGAATTGTCTTTAATTTCTGGAAAACACAAAGAAACCAAAGACAACATGACAGGCTGCAAAATGGAAATGTTACTTATGATTAACAGTCTGATGCACCAAATCATAGTACCTCATAGTGCTTACTGACTTTTAGCTGCAGACACATATCCTGGTCATACTTTTATCTCTCTACCATATTCCTCAATGTAAACTCAAGTCTGAAAGCCATACCTCCAGCTATCAGTTTCTTTGAGAAAGAAACCTGAGTGTCAAGAAGGACATATAGTACAATCCAACGAAACATCTGCAGCCAAAACAGGATCCAACTGATATTATTCTAAATCATGGATCCTATAAAGATTTCAATGACAATAATGAAGCTAATTAAAAGAAAACTGTTATATCAAAATATGCCAAGTATTTTCCTAGAACTATCTTCTGTAAGAAAATTATATTCACTGATACGCAATATGGCACATAGCAAATCCAAACTAAAAAATTACCCATTAAAATACAGTTCTTGTTTAACCACAACAAAAGGAAACACCATCACAGATATATTTATTTTATATATGAAGCACTGCTTTACTCTAGGAAAAACAGCACCAGTAGTACCACTGTGCTGGTGATACATTAGTTCTGAAAGCTGTAATAGCAATTTCGGTTTCAAAAAGTATGTAGAAAGTGTAGAGTGAGGCTTTGAAAACTGATTGTGTTGGGACAGATTTTCAGTTGTGCTGCAGTGAGCCGGTGCAAACCCAAGATTTCTGAACATGCATGAGAGCTGCAAAAGGATCAGAACCTACCTTTGTGACAAATGTTTTTTATGCACTTTTTTAAAGGCTTGTAGGCAGTTGAATATTTGTGCTATTGTTTGTCTCATGAGCATTACAAAATATATATGCAACCTTACTCTTCACAAATTTGGTTTTAAAAAATCTTACTGAAGATCTTGGTTTCTACAAGGCTCAGAGTAGTTTAACAAATGCTTCTGGTCCACTTTCTGAATTAATTTACATACTCTCACTTTTATACATGCAAAGGGAGTTACAAAGAGATAGTTCACACACAAGCTTACAAGTAAAATTAGGGAGGATATTTGTTCACAGCCCATTACAGATTGCCTGGTTTTATTCCTATGATGGCCAGCAGGTGTGAGAGCTGCCCTATTCAATGTGAGGTTTTTGTCTTCACTGGAGTTACACAGGGACACAGTTTTCTGCTTATAACTTATGCTTTGCATGACTGTGACTTTGCTTCAATGAAAACAACAGAAATTTCCTTGAAAAAAAGGGGAAAATGCAAAGGAAATAGCAGTAGCAGTATGAGTTATCAAAATGGCATTCATGCAGGTAACTGCTATACTAGCCACATCAGGAATGGTTGTGCTCTATTAACCTGCATCAGTAAAGGTTGAACATATTATGAAGATTAAAAAATGCCCCTGAAAAATAAAAAAAAAGCTTTATTTTGTTTTATTGCTCACTGAAACCTTCAGTTTTTGAAATTTCTAATCCATTCTTGAAAATATGATGCATTTCAACCAGTTGGCACTGAAGTATGAAAGAGACTAAAAACAAGTGACAAAGGATGGCACAAAATCATAGAATCATAGAATAGATTGGGT